AAAATAAAAATTATGAGCAACAAATACATATCTATCAACAAATGAATCTAAAAATCAAGTGAATAAAAAGTCTGATGAACAGAATAAACTGGTGAATATAATAGAATCAGGGGCATAGAAAAGGAGTGGACTGACTATTCTCAGGGTGGGGAGGAAAGGGGGTGGGGGGAGCGGAAAGAGACTGGGCAAAAATCGTACACCTATGGATGAGGACAGTGAGTTGGGGGATAGGGTAAGGGGTGAGGGTGGGGTGGGAACCGGGTAGAGGGGAGGTTATGGGGGGGGGAAGAGGAACAACTGTAACAATCTGAACAATAATGATTTAATTTTTAAAAAAATAAAATAAACACTTGACAAATGTGGAGTCACGGAATTTTGAGGTAGTTGGTATCTTAGCCCCATTTTACAGATGAGGAAACTAAGGCACAGAGAGATTAACTACTTTGCCTTAATCCCAGGGCAAATTATGTAGCAGAAGCAATTGAATGTGTTGGCTTTACTTTGATGGTACGCACATGAAGACCATCTGCACATAATTTGATTTTTCCAAAGCTGGTGAAACCCTGTTCAGGTAAGTCACACTCACTGGACAGCACTGGCTCGTGGGAAATTCAGAGAATTTAAAGTGTCATAGTTGATTAAAGAATCAATGGTAGACATATAAGACTTTTCTTTAAAGTGTCTGGAACTAAAAGATTTTAAAAACTCAATTTGTGATTATTGTGGGGAGAGCCATCACCCGGGAATCTTCCATCATCAACTTTTAAAAATATAAAGTGCTTTCTGAATTTAATTTTTTTGGTCAAAACCCAGTTGGCAAAAATAAAAAATCCTATTTGCAGCCTGGCCGGTGTAGTTCCAGTGTTTGAGTGTTGACTTATGAACCAGGACATCATAGTTCAATTCCTGGTCAGGGCACATGCCAGTAGAAGGCATGCAGGAGGCAGCCGATCAATGATTCTCTCTCATCATTGATGTTTCTATCTTTCTCTACCTCTCCCTTCCTCTCTGAAAGCAATAAAAACCAAACAACAACAACAACCAAAAACAAAACAAAACAAAAAAACCCCAGTTGCAAACCTAGCACTGTTTATTGCCTTTTCTTGAGCAGATGATCCAAATCCAGTTCCTCTGTCCCTAAATAGACCGCATCCATCCCATTTCTATTCCCAAGGCCCCAGCCTCCTCCAGGTCCCCACCTGCAGCCTGGCCTAGACACTCTAGCCCCACAACAGAGCCTGCCCCTCCCCCTCCCAAACCTTCCACGGCTCCCTGCTGCTCACAGAGAGACCCTTGGAGCCAAGGGTTTCAGAACTTTGAAATTTTCAGATTTTAGAGATATACAGATTGCTACATACCACCCCCCTGTGTGGAAGGAGGAAGTGCCCTGTAAATCAAGCCCATGAATATTTCTGTAAACAATATGATGACGTACTTAATGGAATAAAGGTCACACATAGCCTCGCATCGGCTCAAGATGATCATGCAGCCAGTGTTTGTGCTAAATCCAGAAAAACACTTTTGGCTTCCAGAGGTGTCTGGATTCCCGAGCTATAAATTGGGGTCTGTGGACCTGGACAGAGCCCTGCCCTGGCCAGGCACTAGAGTCCTTTCTGAGCTGATCCCACCACTTCTCAGCCTCCACCTCCACCTCCAGCTCCCCTCCCCCCCCCTCCCCCGAATAAGGAGTCTCTCAAATACAGCAGGCACAGCCCCAATTCTGAACACACTCAGGTCTTCTCTCCCATGGAGTATAACACAAGTCTCCCTTCTGAATCATGGGCCTCAGATCTGACCCTGTCCTTCCCCAGCTCCAAAGCCTTCCATGGATCCTGCTGCCCCAGCCTCATTTTCCTGCCACTTCCTGCCTCCCACAGCAAGCGGAGCCCACCTGCACCTCCTGGGGCAGATACCAGGTTGACCCCAACTTGGGCTCCTCCACCCAGCAGGCTCTGTTCAGCCTGGTAAACTCTTCTCATCCTTGAAGACCCCTACACACTGCGCTTTCTCCTTGGGCCTTCCTCCATATGTTTTTTAAAATCTTATTTTTAAAAATATATTTTATTAATTTCAGAGAGGAAGGTTTACAGAGAGGAAGGAAGAGAGATAGAAACATCAATGATGAAAGAGTATCATCGATGGGCCGTCTCCTGCACACCCCCTACTGGGGATGGAGCCTGCAACTCAGGCATGGGCCCTGGCCAGGAACTGAACTGAGATCTTCTGGTTTAGCCTCTGGTTCAGCGGTCACCAAACTTTTGGACCTCACGGATCACCAGTGGTCTGTGGACCACCGGTTGGCGACCACTGTCTGGTTCATAGGTAAACAGTCAACCACGGAGCCACACCACCGGGCATCCATATTGTTTTTTATTTGTCTGTTTTTTGTTAATCCTCACCTGAGGATATTTTTTTCCATTGACTTTTTTTAAGGGAGGGGGAGAAACAGAGAGAAACATCGATTGGTTGCCTCCCACAAGCATCCCAACCAGTTCCAGGACCAAGCCTGCAACGAAGGTACATGCCCTTGACTGGAATCGAACCTGTGACCTTTCATTCCACAGGCCAACACTATAACCACTGAACCAAACCGGCCGGACCCATACTGTTTTGTAACAACAAGTCTGGCCCATCATCAAAGTAAGAGGCCTTGTCAAAGGCAGGACCTGATGGTTGGGTGCCCAGCATCGCATGGGCCAGCCTGACACCAAGCAGGGACTTCAGGGTCGTGCTTTAAATGAATCTACCCTCAACAATAAGATAAATAAATTTAAAAATTAAATAAGTATAAAATAATCTAAACAAGCCCCAACACTTCTCCGCCCCTAAGTCTTGGCACACGCTGTTTCTCTAGCCTGCAATGTCCTTTCCTTCTCCGCTAAGCAGACTTCACAGAGCCCGCATGAGCCCCCCAGCAAGTCCTCTCTCCCTCCTCCACGACTCCTAGCCCATGCCTCCTTCTCTCAGAAGTCAGCTCACTCTGATCCAGGCCCACCGGTGTTCTCCACTCGCAGGCTCCAGTCTGATTTCTCTCCAGACCCCTAGCATTGCCCAGCCCAGGGATGAGGAGCAGGGCAGGCATGTGTATATGTATATACAGACGTATACACAGGTGTGCAGGGAGGCCTCACCTCCGGGAGGGCAGCCGCTGCCGCATGCGGTGACAGTCCAGCACCCACTCTTTACGCACAATGCGACCTCCGAGGCCTAGGACCTGGCCGTACTTAGGGGTGTTGGCAAAGGCACAGCTGTGGGGAGCAGAATAGAGGGTGTCAGTCAGGTGTGAGGTAAGGGATAAAAGAGAAGAGGGAGACAAAGAGGACAGAGAGAGGGAGAAGAGATGAGTAAGAGAGAAAAAGAAACAGATATGGGAGAAACAGGGAGACAGAAGGAAAGATGTACAAATCGGAGAAAAGGAGGCAGAGGATCCATACAGAGAACTGAAGAGACGGAGACAAAGACACACACAGGCAGACAGGCAGAGAGAGAGAGAAAGCAAGATGGAGACAGAGGCGGAGGAGTGGTAGCAGGAAGGTGGGAAGGAGGAGGTCACAGGCCTACATGAGGTGGGTGCTGTCTGGGGTCCAGTCTGGCCGATACTTGGCCCCGAGCTCTAGGGCCTTGTCCCGGAGCTCCGAGCGGAAGGGGTTCTGGAAGCCACTCAGCACCACCACCACGCCCTTAAGGATCGTCCCCATCTCCTGCGGGCCAGCTCGGGGTGCCCTGTGCTCCGTGCCTTCTCCTCGGGCCTTCCCTGGCACTGCCCCCCGTGCTGGGGCAGGGACTGAGGCAGTGGCAGGGGTAGAGATGGGTGCTGACACTGCAGAAGCCAAAGAGCAGGTTCAGTTAGCACTGCTGGGACTAAACCCGTCGTCCTTCCTCCCTCAGCTCCAGAGTCCCAGCCCCAGTCCGCTCACCCCTACGACACAGGAACCCAGGCCCCTGCGGGAACAAGGAATCCAGTTTGCTCACATTTGGGTCTCTTGCGGGCAGGTGGTGAGGGCTGGGCTGAGGGTTTGCTGGGGGTCTTCCTTTCTTCTTGATTCAAATCCAACTTCCTCTTCCCTTTGGGGGACTCCTGAGGCTAAGCGGGGTGAGATGAAATGAGGCCTCTAGCTTCTCTCCTCCTCCTCCACCCGTCAGGGTCTGATGATCTCACCTTGGAGGTGCTGCCTACTGCCCTGGAGGCTGGAGAGGTGGAGGAGGTGGCACTTGAGGCCTGCAGTGTGGCAGCTGCATAGCTGGGTCCCGCTGGGTCACTGGTGGTGGCTACAGAGGGAGAGAGTAGAACCAGGATAAGGCTGGGCCCTTGGGCCCTTTCAGTTCCTATCCACGCAACAGAGGGGTGTTCCCAGCAGAGACCCAGGAGGCCAGGCCCCCAGTCCCATCCCCCTCGGACCCAGGAGGCCAGGCCCCCAGCCTCCTCAGACCCAGGAGTCTAGGTCCCAACCCTGTACTCACTCAGGCCTGATTTTCCACACTCACCAGTGGATGTCTTATTGATCCGGCTGAAGAAGAGGGCCCCTGGTCTCAGGGAGCTGGCACCCTCATCCTCCTCCTTTACACGGAATTGGCCAAGCTTGGTCACCTTCTAAGGTCCCAGAAGGTCAATGCAGTGGGTGTGGACTTTTGGCAGATGGGGGAGAAGAAAAAGGGAGGAGGCTCTGGGGGTGATGGGTAAAGCTTACCTGGGGTGAAGCCTCTACCTCATCTTTGTCTGGAGGGCTGTGAAACCGTACAAAACTCAGGCCATAGGGGGAGTCCTGGGAAAGAAGGGGTTGGAGTCAGGGAATCTGGCCAAGGACTGAAGCCTGGCCCCAAGCCCCTTTAACTTAGGGAACCCCCTCTCTGGCTCTTGCCTCATTTAGGGAGATGTCTGTATGACACCATGGACAATAATAACATCCAGCTGTTACGGAGCCCTAACTCTGGGTCAGCACAGCTCTGAGCCCTTTTACATGCATTAGTCCCGTTAGCCGCACAAGCAATGGGCAAGTGGAATGGAGGGAGTGCTGCGTGCCGCTTCGGGAATAGAGAAGTGCTCCAGGCTCTTTCCCCCTCTGCCAGCTGGATGCAGAGCCATAGATGGGAGGAACCTGGGTCCCTGGATGACCAGTCAAACACCCCCCAGGACAGCTCCCCGGTAAGGATACCTCTACTGTGTGGTGTCATTACCACGTGGGTCTTGTAATCACAGCTCAGCATCCTAACTCACAGCAACCCATAAGGATCAGGAAACTGCCGAAACCGGTTTGGCTCAGTGGATAGAGCGTCGGCCTGCGGACTGAAGGGTCCCGGGTTCGATTCCGGTCAAGGGCATGTAACTGGGTTGCGGGCACATCCCCAGTGGGAGATGTGCAGGAGGCAGCTGATCGATGTTTCTCTCTCATCGATGTTTCTAACTCTCTATCCCTCTCCCTTCCTCTCTGTAAAAAAAATCAATAAAATATATTTAAAAAAAAAAAAAAAAGGATCAGGAAACTGAGACCAGAAAGATTAAGTCACTTGCCCAGAGTCACACAGTAAGAAGTGGTGTAGCCAATCTTAAACCCAGGGTCTGACTTCATTCTCTTGATGTAACTCCTCGGCCCACTCTCCTAGACCACCTCTCCAACAAGTCAGCTGTCCCCCTCCCCCAGCTCCCCTCTGAGGTCCTACAGTTCACTGTCCAAGACATCGTCCAGGAAACAAAGCCTCATATGAGGGGGAACTCAAACCCATTTCAGGAAGCCCTCCTCATGGTCCCATGGGGATACCAGCTGTCCAGTCCTCCCAGCCCACTGTGACTCATACTGGCCCCTCCGCTCTCTCCTCACCCACGACCAAGGACCCTGCACTCCCCGCTCCCACCACAGGTACCTTGCTATAGGGCTGGCTGCAAACAATTTTGACTCGGTCCCAGCGCTTCTCAGCTGCTCCCCGGACCAACTTCTCAGGTCCAAAAAAGCGAACACGGTTGGGGTTGGAGCCACTTCGGCTCTCAGAAGGGGACATGAAAGACGAGGTGACCAGAAGGACCTGGGAGAGGGCACAATAAATGAGGCTGGCTCCTTTAAATGATGCATCCTAGGGGCTGGGAAGAGGGCAGGGGGCCCGAGAAAAAGCTAGGGAGTCGCCAGATCCAGCTCATGCCCTGACCTGCCTCAAGGTCTCTAGACGCTTCTCTTGTTTCTGGGCCTCCGGTCTGTCCTTCCCTGACACAGGTCCCAGAGGAAGCCTTCTGTGTACAGATCTGAATGATCCTTCTTAAATTCTTGCACAGAGCCTTCCATATCTGGTCATATGGCGGGGCCGCGCGACCTAAGGAACGAACCCTCCCAGCAGAGAAGATTCACGATGACTGGCACAGCATTCAAGCATCTTTTGGAAATGCAAGGCCGGGTCAGTGGAAAGGCGAGCAGTTACCGGAGGCCAGAAATGAGAGAGCTGTGCCAGCAGGGGGAGCTAGAGACAGGCTGCAAGACTGGAGGAGGGAGGAGGATCTGCTCCTTGTAGAGCCTGTGAGCATCGCCCCCACCACCACCCGCCTCCCCACACACACACCTCTGCTTCTGCAAGTGCTCCTTCCCAGGGCAGCAGAGCAGTCCAGTTCGCACTTCCTAGCACTTGCAGAACCCGCCTCATCCAGCCCCTCCCAGGGTCTGAGTTTCAGCTCTATGGAACGCAACCTCCAACATCTATGTTTCAATCATTCCTACCTTTTCCTTTTGTTCCCCAACCCTAGGGGAGCAAAAGGCGGCAGCAGCTCCCTGCACTTGCTTCTTCATCATTCCTTAGTCTTCTTGCCTCATCAGTTACTAATTCCCTCTGTTAAAATAACTGGTGTGGTTTCAGTCTCCTGGTAGGACCCTGACTGATACAGTGGGTGGCACCGATGTGGTTTTTGTCCTAGTGCTGACCCTGGGGGGCACACAGAGCTTGATTTTAAAGGGCCCTTGGGGGGGAGTGGGGGGTGGCATCTTGACAAGGGATCCAGTAGAAATCTTGGAAACTCTGAAAAGTGCTCCAAGCAAGGAAGAACAGTATCTCAGAGACCACATAGAGCTGGGCTCCTCCTCCACGAGTAGGTCAGGGGAAATGTGCCTATGCAGAGAGTGGAAGCCTTCGCTCTGAAGGAGAGCAGAGAAAAGATGAAAATTTATCTCTGGACAACTCCTAATCATGAGCTTGTACTCTCAAGGATTTGGAGCAAAAACTCACACTAGCCATCTGCATGGAAAAACACAAGCCGAACATTGTAAGTGGTCCCGGGTACACAGCGTCACCCGACACCAGGGCAAATACTCTTTGGAGGAACGTGCTTCAAACCCAGTCCTCCAAGATCTCCCACAGATACCTTCCCAAAGAACAGAACACACACACACACACACACACACACACACACACACACACACACACACAGAGGCACGAGGA